CCGGTGACGGCGCCGGGGGGGCGGCGGCGGCGGCTCGGTCGCGGGCGGGGTTGGGTCCGGGCCCCACGGAGGGAGCGGGACCGGGCCCGGCTCGGGCGCCACGAGCAGCCACGTGAGCGCGGTGCTCACGTGCAAGGTGTGCGACCAGGCGTTCAGCTCGTTGAAGGAGTTGAGCAACCACATGGTGAAGAACTCGCACTACAAGGAGCACATAATGCGGTCCATCACGGAGAGCGGGGGCCGGAGGAGGCAGACGAGGGAGAAGCGCAAGAAATCGTTGCCGGTGAGGAAGTTGTTGGAGCTGGAGAGGGCGCAGAACGAGTTCAAGAACGGGGACGCGGCCGCGGGCCTCGGCCACAATCTCGGCAAACACGCGGGTCGTATCACGTGCGAGAAGTGCGGCGAGAAGATCGAGACCAACATCTTCGTCGATCATATACGCCAGTGTATCGGGGCGGGGACGGTGGGCGCGAGTCAGCGCAACTTCTTGAAGAACGCGTTGATGTCGAATCATTTGCCGGCCACGCTGCCGCCCACGGAGACGGGGCGCAAGAGCGTGACCGAGGACGGTTCCTCGAGACACCATCGGTCGCCCTCGTCGGCCAGCGACGCGACCACGCCCGGCAAGGACACGCCGACACCCGCGACAGGCGGCGAGACGACCGGCGGCACCTCGTCCCCGTCCGTGTTGAACGCCATCGAGAAATTGATCGAGAAGAGTTTCGACTCGCGCGTCAGACACGGGACGCCCGGCCTGCACCACGCCCAACCGGGGCCCCGATGGGAACCAGTATCTTGAAACGGCTCGGGATCGACGAGAGCGTCGACTACACGAAACCGTTGGTCGACCCGCAAACCATGAACCTCCTTCGCTCGTATCAGCAGCAGCATCAACAGCAACAGCATTACGCGACGAGCGCGGCGGCAGCGCGGCGGGAACGAAGCGGGAGCGAGTCGAGCTCCGTGTCGGAGCGGGGAAGCGGGGGCGGTAGAACCGACTCGATCACGCCCGAGAGACGCGTGGATCTGCACTCGGACGCCAGGCATTCCCATCATCACCGGCTCACGCCCGACAAGCAACTCGGCCCCCAAACCTTGCCCCCGAGTCGCCATCATCCACCCACCGAGGAGTCCGGGGACGAGGAATCGTCGACGACCGCGGCCACGTCCGCGGTGGGCGGCGGCGCGACGACCGCTTCCGCGTCCAACGTGGTCGTGGTGAAGAAGGAGCCCCGCGACGAGGAATCGGAGGAGCGAGTAGGGAACGAGGAGGAGCAATCGCAGCCCCAATCGCAGCGAGAGGTGTTCGTGAAGAAGGAGATCGTGGAGGACTGCAGGGACGAGGAGGAGACGGCGGGCTCGTTCCATCATCGGCGAAGCAGCTTGCACGAGGGATCGGAGGAGGGTGGTGGTCGAGAGGTGTTGTCGCCCCGGATGAACCCACCGACACCGAGATCGAGCGGGCAACCGGAACAGTTGACGCGCAGCCCGTGCAGGAACAGCACCAGCAGTCCAACGAGCAGCGACCGATCGGTGACGCCGCGAGGAACGCCCGACACGAAGGGGTCGAGCAGCCTTGGCGCCCTCTCCTCCATGTTCGACAGCCTGTCAGGGGGCGGAGGCGGCGGGGGCGGCGGGGGCGGGAGCGGCGGCGGCGGCGGCGGAGGCTCGAGCAACGCGGTCGACTCTCAGGGACGGAAGACGAGCAGCCATCCATTGGCCGCGCTGCAAAAGCTCTGCGACAAGACGGAGACGAGGGGACCGAGCGGCAGCGCGGCCCGATCAGGCGGCGGCCCTGGGACCGCGTCCGGCCTCGCCACCGCGGCCGGAAGCGGCGGCGTGGGCGCGGCCGGGCCCGGTTCCGGGACGGCCCCGGGGGCGATCCTGGCGTTCAGCTGGGCCTGCAACGACGCCGTCGTCACCGCCGACTCCATCATGAAATGCGCCTTCTGCGACACGCCGTTCATCTCCAAGGGGGCGTACAGGCACCACCTGTCGAAAATGCACTTCGTCAAGGACGGCGTGATCCCCGATCCCCTGACCATCGGTCGCTCGGCGGCGGCCGCGGCGGCTGCGGCGGCCGCGGCCGCGGCCGCTGCAGCCGCGGTCTCTCAAACCACCGGGACCGGGCCCCCACCACCGTCGGGTCACGCATCTTCCTCGCCCCCGACTTCACAGCGCAACAAGTCGCCGCCGCTTCCGCAGGCGAACGGCAGCCCGTCTCAGTCAGCGGCCTCTCCCCTCGAGGAGAGCCCGCACTCCAAATTTCTCAAGTATACGGAGCTGGCCAAACAGTTGTCCAGCAAGTACGTATAGTCCGAGCCCCGTAAGTAGCGGTGCCACTTGTACATAACGTGTATCTATATAATGTAACGACTGTAATTAGCGGCGCGATTTTGGTCACCTCCTTCCGACACCTCCTCCTCCCCTAATCGAACTTATCCCGGTATCCTTTCGTTCGCGATTCCATTATCCGCCTCTCCCCTCTTCTCGCTTACCCACTTCTCTCTCGCTCTCTCTCTCTCTCTCTCTCTCTTCTTCCTCGTCACCCCAACCCCCTCCCCTCCCCCTGGATCGCACTCTCCATCTTGGCGATAAGCGAGTCGCGCGGCGAAAACCGGAAGCGGAGGAGGTGGATATCGAACGTGCGTTGATTTTCATTGTGATGCCACCATATCTCGCGGCACTGCTGAGTCAAGGGGCTCGGCCAGCGGCCAAGTTTGTGATTTTATAAATACTTAAGGACATTTACGACTGGCTTTGAGAGAGAGAGAGAGAGAGAGAGAGAGAGAGGAGGAGAGAGTGTCG